TTATTGCCAGCGTTGATGGCCAGGCGGTGACGGGGGGCGGCATGGGCGGGGCTGGCAGTTAGTGGAAATTGGAGCAGCTCAAAGATGGCTGCGAAATTAATAAAACTCGGCAAAGAAAGAGTTGAGCACAGGCGGGCGTTTGATTTCGTTTTAAAACTCAGCAGCGCAAGCAACTTTTACCCAAGACTTAAATAAATAGAAAAACTAGAGGAAAACTGAAAACTGGGCACGGGTAATACTCTCCTTTCTATTTTTCTCTGGCTGCTGCTAACGCTCTCGTATTAAATCAGAAACATGCATTTATTTAGCAATTTCCTGGCAATGGGAAACAAAAGAAAAACTGTTGCAAAAGTACTTTTTTCTTGCTTTTATTGTTTTTTGGCAAATTTTCAAAAACTCACCCGACTAAACAATAAGCACCAACAAAGCAAAAAGCTGCAGGGGCAGAGCGGGCAACGGGGCCGAGAGAACAAAAAACGGAAGTCATAGCGCAAGCGAAAGCAAAGCTTGGCCAGCGGCCGGCGGACCAACAAACCGACACTACTAGATGGAAAAGGCTGCGGGCCAGGAACAGGGACTGCAGCGGAACCAGACAGACACATACAATAAAAGAGTTTTGTGCCATTTTTTTATTTTTTATTTTTACTTGTCTTTCTCTCTCTCTTTTTGTGGGGCACGGCCGCAAGGCTACACAGCCACAGCTGAACTGACAGCCAAACATTTATAACAATGGTCAGTTGGTGGGCGTTGGTCGGACTCGGACTCGGACTCGAACCAGCACACTGGCTCGGACATGGTCAGAACTAATAAATGAGTTCAGCAAGGGGGCAACAGTCGAAAAAGGTTTGCTGGATGCCCAAAAACCAAATAAAAACGTCTAAAAAAAATCTCAACGCTCATGGCGGCGGCTAGCTATAAAATATTTAGAGCATACTTTTGAGCTGCAGACACGTCAGCTGGACTGGGCGAGGTCGGTTGACAATTTAAATGGTGTTGACTAAAGAGTGAGGTCAGAGCTAAAACTTAATTTTGCCGTTGGTTTTAAAGCAGTTAGCAGAGGGTGTTTGGCGAATGGAGCCAGATAGAGAGGAGTTGAAACGAGCCGTACAATGCAACGAGTAAAGGTGAGCCAGACCAGTGTTGTATAATGCCCATATAAAGAAAAGAAAAGTAGCGAGTAGAAAGAGTAGTTTTAAAAGGCAGCTAGGCAAGGAGTCGCTATTGCAAGTCGAACTTTGTTTAAAGAAATAAATATTAACCTAAAACAAGCTCAAAGTACATGAACGCAGTGATATAAAATGCGCGGATAGCATCAAATACAGATGAATTAAAACAAAGATCCTAAAAAAAAAGTCAGTAGGAAAATGTGAAAAGTTAGGGTATGCCAGTCTAGTGTTGTAAAATGCATGAGCAAGCCAAGCCTTACATATAAATATCTCTAATAAAACACGTTAAATGTTAGCTCGTGTCGGAGCGTCACTTTGAGCTGATCTTTTACCAATAGTTCGTATACACATGTTATCTGCTAGCCTGGAGCAGGCTCTGCTCCCTGTGTTGGCTTGGGCCAGGTTGTTGTTTCTTTATGGGCCAGCGTTAAGTGTCTTCCCGTGAACAAATTGTCTCGCCTCAAACAAAACAGACTGCTAACAGCCTCCATTTGTAGGGACTAAGCCAATAGAGCCCTGTGCAAGTCGGGTCATGTCCTGATGCCTGCTTAGGGGGCTATTCGAAGAAGCTGGCCTGCGGATTGTTTTGCCCATTTAGCAGAATTTCACATTTCAGCAATTTAAATTTGATTTTCCAAGCATATGCAAGGGGGCGCTTGTTGTCAAACCACCTCAAAAATACAACGCCAAACTGTGTGTTGACTGACTGTTTAAGCAGCTGCTACCCACACGCAGCGCACATAAACGAGTGGCAGTCACTGACAGGAGTCGGTGTAGAATGAGAGGTCCTTTTAGCTGTTTTGCTTGTGCTTCATGGAGCTGCTGTCAGTTGGCTGCTTCTGTGTTTTTAAGCTGCCAAATAAAAGCGAGCGGCCGCTCAGTCGCAGCCTCAACAAGTCGCTTTATGGCATATGCATGATAATGATGAGAGACTGCAGGACCAGGGACCTGGCGCTCCATTTCTGTGGCGTTCTTTCATATGATTGCGCCCGAGTCGCTCCCGGGTGTTTATGTGATATTTACATAATAAAAACGAGAGTCAAGTTGGAGCTGTGTCTCGTCTCGAGAGTTGCTGCCAGCAGTTATCCTTTTTGGCGTAGCACAAACAGCACAAAGCCATCAGTTGTCTGGCCCGCCCCCGCCTTATCCCACCACACCCCATGAAGTATGACCCACATCTATGATTATTTTCATGACGCCTTCGGGGCCGAAACATTTCCATTCCGAACAATGCGTAAAGTTGAAAAATATGAAAAAGGCAGCGGCAAAGCCAAAGCCGAAGCCAAAATGTGTAAGGGGCGTGGCCGTGCTGCTGTGTTTTTCTTGTTTATACGCGCTGTGGGCAGACCAAAAAAAAAAAAAATCAACAAAATAAAAACAAAAATTGTATTCACTTTTTGTTTTATTTATTTGATAGACCATTTGGGGTTGCGCCTTTTGCCCATATCCTTTCCGGCATCCTTGAACTTCTCGCAGTTGTGCGCTAAATTAAGTTTCCTTTACCATTTTGCTCTGCTCCCGAACTGATAAATGTCCCCAAAGCATACAAAGTGCAAGTTGTTTTTCAAGTTTCGACCAAACTAAACTATGTGGCATATCTTTGGCCCCGTCGCCTTTGGGGCGCTGCCATCGCCTGGCCATTGAATGGGCTTCGACTTTGGGGACTCTGAGGCTGTGGCACAAAGGGTTGGCTCACTTGCTAAAAATCCGATAACAGGGCAGGGAAGTGAAGTAGCAGGGCCAAGCAATTTTGTGTTTGCCACTGAGCTGTGGCATGTGGCATGTCTTAAATTCTGTCACGTGCTATGTGGGTTCACTGTAGCAATTTAAATAGGTAATTAACACTGGATCTTCTTTATGTATGTCTTACAACTTATAATAATTTTTAGGAGAAAGGGGTATAAAAGTTGTATGTCTTTAATCTTACACTAAATCTCTAAATTAACTTTATTAAAACCTGAAGCTAAGATGTTTGAATATATAAAATGTTCAGTACCTTGTGTAAGCTTCTATTTTTATAACTCTGTTTTCAAATCATACAAAAAAATAGAGTTGAGAAATTGTCTAAAAGAATGGCATTTCTTTGGCTCTTGATAACCTCTTTTTATATCAAAATTGTGCATGAAAATCCAAGTGCATAACAGTACATTAGAGTGGCAGCTTCGGAGAACAGTCAAGGAGACTCAAGGATACATAAAGTATCAGATCCCACATCTCTTAGATTAACTATTAAGAAACAATCTCTCGGAAGGAACATATTAGAGTCTACGGCATATTGGGCGGGAAAGAAGGCCATCAACCAAATTCTTCCAGAATATTCAAATAGGCATCTGAGATATCAGATCTCACATCGCCTTCTCTCACATAACGGGGAAATCTCCCAAAAAGGAACGGATCATTGTGCATTGCGCAGTAGGGATTCTTACATCACCCATCATCATACCATCATGTCAAACCCCACCAAAGGCTTCCATAATGTCCAAAAATGCTGCAGAACAATATATGCATCTTGAATATCAGATCTCACATCCCCCATCACCATTCCATCATGTCAAACCCCATCAAAATCTTTCACAATGTCAAAAAAGAGAACACTGCAGACCAATATATATAACCCTCATCGGCATCTTGGATATCAGATGGCACATCTCCATTCCACATCACCATACCATTGTGTCATACTCCAGGATGTCCTCTCTTATAGGCATATTGGATATTAGATCTCACATCTCCCAGATCAAACCTATAGGATAAATCTTCCAAGAAAACGGATCATTGTGCGTTGCAGAGAAGGGAGAAACGACCTTAGCTTGTACACTATACACCATATACCATACACTATACCTAACGCTCATGAGTTTATTGGATATCATATGTCACCTCTCCCAAGCCCCTTCACAAGGGAACGGATCATTATTCATTGAAAACACAGAATATTGTATGGAATTCCTTCATGGCATATCTCATCAAAAGCTTCTAGAATGTTCAGAAACAAAGGACCTTACATTCTCTACACCCTACACTCTCGTTGGCATCTAGGATCTCAAATCTCGGTCCGGATCAGGGAGGAGAGACAAAATTTTTTTCATCTGAGTTACAAGCCCAGGAGCTCTTTTGGCGCTCCATAACAGGATCGAAACCCAAGCTGATGGCAATAATTTTCAACATGCCGTGAAAAAATATTCCCTGGAATTTTTCGGAAATTGTTACGCACTGGGCTAATATTCTCTAAGGGACAGGACCCCTTTCTCAGGCGAAGTTTTTACAACTCTGCCATCCGTGGCATTCTAAAGTTGTAAATAATTTGCCTTTTAAAGAACAAAGCTTAGATATTTGGCAGTTATTGACTGACTTTACCTAGCTATCCGATCTATGGCTGCTCCATGTGCCCTGCCCTCCCCCTTCCTGGTCAGCGGTTGCTCGAGTCTACTGCCCGATTAAAGCTGCATCTGCCGGACCCCGTTAGACTCGAATATAACCAGCTTCCATTTGGCTTTGCCACTAATGCGAATGCCGTTGGTAATGTTGCTGCCGTGGCCATTTAAATTGTCTTCATTTGTTTACTGCCAGACAAAGAATACAAAATAGAGTAACAGATACAGAGGTAGAGTTTGGAGGAATTGCCGGGGACATAAACGTGGATACGGGGCAAAGGAGGCGGAAAATAATCCACAAAACTACCGATTAACTTGCCGGGTAGCCAACGGGAAGGCGAATGCAGCTGCCAAATCCAATGAAAATCCAAAAGCCAAGCAATTTTGAACTCTAATGGAAAATCAATTTAAAGCGCACATACTAAAACCCATTCCCCCTCTCAATTCCTTCCCTTTACAGGCTAAACAGCAGACAGAACTACACGAATGTCGGACGCCAAATACGAAAGCCATTGGCAAACTTGGCTAAAACGTATTTAACCCAAAATAAAGCGAACAACAGAAAGCGTGAGAGAGACAGAGATAGAGAGAGAGAGAGAGAGAGAGAGAGAGAGAGAAGAGAGGAGCAGCTGCACCGAGAGACAGTCAACGTCTGGTCACAGCAAAGGCAACTAACCAAACAAACCACACCACAGACTAGGCTCACGAAGGGAGTAAAGCTCCAAGCGGGCTTGCAAACCCGTAGACAGAGAAAGAAACAGAGAGAGAGAGAGAAAGGAACAAGGACAGAGACAGGGACATAATGAGCAGACGAGGGTCGTCGGCAATGGCAGCGGCAATTACCATGTCGCCGTCATCGTTGCTGTCGCTGTTGCTGCTGCTGCTGCCTACATTGCTGGGGCTGCTCGTGCCGACAAATGGCCTGGCAAATTGTCCAAATGGCTGTGAATGCGATGACGAAACTCTGAAAGTCAACTGCGGTGTGGGCACGCTCGATGTGCTGCCCATCGCACTGAACCCGTCTATACAGCGGCTGGTCATTAAGAACAACAAGCTAAAGACCATCGACTCATCGATGCAGTTCTATTCACAGCTGCAATTCCTTGATTTATCCTACAATGATATGGTTACGATACCGGAACGCTCGTTCGCCTACCATGCCAAGCTGCTGGAGCTGCATCTGAATCATAATAAGATTGGGCAAGTGACGAACAAAACCTTTACGGGCCTAACCACAATTACTGTGCTCAATCTGAGGGGTAATCTGATTGCCGAACTGGAGTACCGCACTTTCTCGCCCATGGTTAAATTGGTGGAGCTCAATCTTGGCCAGAATCGCATCAGTCACATTGATCCGCATGCTCTGGACGGACTGATTAATTTGAGCATATTGTATTTGGATGATAATACACTCACTACGGTGCCATCGGAGCTGACATTCCAAGCGCTGCCCGGCCTGGCGGAACTTTATTTGGGCACCAATTCATTTATGACTATTCCGGCGGGCGCTTTTCAGGATCTCAAGGCCCTGACGCGCCTTGACTTGCGTGGCGCGGGACTGCATAACATATCGGCCGATGCCCTGAAGGGTCTAGAGGGCATACGTTTTCTGGATCTCTCTGACAATCGCTTGCAAGTCGTGCCCTCGGCTGCTCTGCAGCGTCTGGCCCGTCTGGAGGAGTTGTCGTTAGGCCAAAATGACTTTGAGGTGATCGCAACTGGCGCCTTTGTGGGTTTGCGTGAGCTGCGCCAACTGGAGATTACAGGAGCTCAGCGCTTGCGCCGAGTCGAGAGCGGCGCCTTCACGGACAACACAAATCTGGAGCATTTGAATCTCTCGGCTAACAAGCAGCTCAATGAGCTGCATGCGAACACCGTGGGCGGTTTCCCACACCTCAGCACGGTAATCTTGAAGGAGAATCATCTGAGTTCCCTCTCGGAGAGTCTTTTTCCCTGGTCGGACTTGCAAACGCTGGATCTGTCGGATAACCCGTTCGTCTGCGACTGCCAGCTGATGTGGCTGCGTAATTTGCTCATCAGTAGGAATGGCAGCAATCAGTATGCTCCCGTCATCTGCTCCTATCCAGCTAATTTGAGGGATCTACCGCTGACACAGCTTGCAGAGCCGCTGCTGGGCTGCACCCACGGCACGGGCAACAAGCAGGCCATTATTGGCATCATGGTCGTCGCCTGTGCGGCGCTGATAACCACCTTGGCACTGATAATCTATACGTGTCGTCGTCGTATACGCGAAATGCTTAAGGGCCACTCGGCGCTGGGGCGCAAGGAACGCGAGTATCAGAAAACCTTTTCGGATGAGGAGTACATGACGCGACCGCCGCCTGGTTGCGGTGGTGTGCATCCTGCTTCGGGATATCCCTGCCCTAGTGGCATCAATTCATCGCAATATTTGGGCAGCCGGTCGATACCAGTCACAGAGCTATAGCTAGAAGCTCCACCCCCACCTCAGCTGCGGGGTCGGGGTGGTGCCCCCTCCAGTCATAACGGTCCAATGGCATCCACAACCTCAGGAACGCCGCTGCAGCAGCTGCAGGTGCCCAGTGCTGTTGATGCGTCGCATGCCCCCTTCGCCCAACTCAGCCACATCCACTACATGACCAACAATCCGCAGTCAGCGGCAACAACAACAGCAACAACAACACCCCGCTCTCATCACTCGCAACAGGACATGCGACTGCTGGCCAATGGCGGCGGCAAGGTACTCGGCCTAAATGCCTCCCTGCCCCGACACATGGCAGGACGTCAGTGCGGTGTGCAGGAAAGCACCCTGTCCCATTACAGTCAACCACTTGCCAATGGCCATGCCGGCATACGCCTCACCCAGGATCACTTCAATCACAATGGCATCGGCGGCGGAGCCGGCGTCTATGCCAAACCCTGTGATGCGATGGCCGAAGCTGGATATATACACAACAATTCGCACTATTCGTTGCCGCTGGATCATGATATGCCGCCCAGTCCGACACCCACACCGCCGCCGCCAGCGCTGCCGTTGCGCAATGGCATGGGCATGGCTCTGGTGCATGGCAATACGACTGGCAGGCGTTCCTTTAATAGCAACAACAATAACGTGGCAACTCTCTCAAACAACAATCACAATGGCGTCGGCGGCGGTGCAGTGTTGGTCAATGGCAATTACAACACCAACGGCAGCAACAACAACAATAATGGCAGCCTGCGTCGCTATCACTGATATACGCTTAAATCGTGCGGCACATTGGGCCGCACCAAGCCGCAGCAGCGGGGCGGGGATATTGAAATGTACCACTTCTACAAGGGCTGACGAGGAATAGGATCACATTGTGTTACTTTAACTATGCATTAATTAATATTTATGTATTGTATATTTAGTTACTTATATTCAGGCGAAATCATTTTGTATAAATTAGATTTTAGTTTAAAAAAGAGAAGAGAAACAAAAGGCAGCAGCAAATGAGCAGAGCTGATATGTAAATACAGTTTGACATGCATTGCATTCTAGATAGCGCATAGTTTGGTCTTAAACTGTTGACATTTAGCAATACAGTTTTAACAGCTGCTGACGTTTACCAACACAGCGCACTCCTTTCTTTTGCTGCTATGTGCAGGGTCTTTTTCGCATCCAGTGATTTACCTAATAAGTTTTACTTAGCCATTTAAATGCATGTAAATAATTAAATGCTATGCACAAAAACTAAATGAATATAAACAAAATAAAGACAAAATACTAAAAAAACAACTAATCAATTTGTATACAAATAATTTACGCTTTTAAGCACAAGTCATTAAAAATATATATGTATTTAGCATAAAATATTGCAAGAAAAAGAAAACACAAAACTAAAATTCAAAAATAAATATATATAAAATACAAATGAAACAATATCTAAGCCGAACACCCTTAACAAAGTTTATGCAAATTATAAGCAAACTTCATAGAAAAAAGAGTAAACAGAAACATTTTTGTAGTTAATAAATTCAATATAAATAGAACACAGAACGTAAACTTAAATTACTTATTGAAATAATAAATATTAAAAATGAAGAGGAAAAAAAATGCAAAAAGTTTATAAAATGCAGCGAAATAGCTACAATTATGCAAAACTACACACTATTTATAAAGAAGGTACTACAAATTGACACAATATGAATACAAAAGCAATTTATGCCACATAAATAAATACAAAATATGTGTAAATAAAAAATGTATGCCCGAACAAATTTAATTTTCTGTTGTTTTTATATTTGGCCATTTGGCTGATTGCTTTCTCGTTTATTTATTTATTTTTTTTTTTATATTTATTTGTTCATTTTTGTATCTGTTTGTTTCGGTGTTTGAGTCGGTGGCGTTTTTTAGCGCTTTTGAATAATTGTACATATTTAACAATTTAATGGAACAAAATGCAAAACACATACAAGGGAGTTAAACGTAACCTAAAACTAATAAGTAAAAAATGAAAAAAAAAAAAGTAAATATAACAAATTATAATTGAAAAACCTATTCAAACGTAAATTCATATTCATATTTCATTACACAACAAATCTCTCATCTAGTTATATACAAACATTTATATACATTGAAAATAAATAAATTAAATTTCATAGACCTTAAGCAAATTACAAGGGACACGTTTAGCTAAAAGAGAGCGTTCAAAAACAAAAAGAAAAATAAACAAAAACGATTAACAAGGATTAAGAAAAATATAAGGAATGCAACCAAAAATATGATCATAATCTAATATTGTACGAGTATTAATAACTGCCGTTAAGCAGGACGAACAAAACAAAAAATATACGATCCATGCAATGAATTCTCAAATGCTAAAGACAGAGAGATTATATGGATGGCAATTTGGATAAACAATTGCAAACTGTTCAAGAACTAGAAGAATAAATCAAATAAACGACAAACTTAACTGAAAGAAAAAGGATATTTCCTGTGGATCTAATACTTCATATTATTCAACGATTTCGAAGTATATCTGAAATCTGCGACTTATTTCTTTTTCGTAGGCATCGTAGAAGGTGGGATTCTAGCCAGATAAGACAGATAGTTTTTTTGCTGTCTACTAAACTGGGTTTATTATTGCTGCCCATTTTTGTGGCGGATCCAATTATTATTGGGTTATAACTGCACCCTGTTACGGGTAATATGTTGTGCCAGTATTTGATAAAATAAATCTATGGATCTGAATTGGTTTTTAATTTAATATTGCAACTAGATGCATGAAAAAAAAACGGTTTTAGGAATGGTAAGCTTTATTTATAAATCATCTAAAATGTTGACTTAATGGGGAATACTCATATCGTAACCCTCTTTTTTTTTTGCAAAAACAAAGTCTCATTTAGGAAAATATACTCATGGCATTAGCGTTCCTTTGGCCATCAGCGATCTCTAGATTTCCGTCTGAATCGGTCGTAGCATAATTGCAGGCAAACAGGAACTTATGCTCATTATTTTGAAAGAATCTGGAAGCAGCACAGCCCACTGCGATATGTTTGCCGTGTCCCACATTCTGATAGTTGCTAGCTTTGTACTCGTTCCACCACGAATGAAGACACGACTTTACCAACTCGTTATCCGATCGTGCATTCAAATTTCCGGTGTAGCTACTTAGCGCTATGTTCTGTGCGGACCTCTTGTACTTCACAGACGCACATTCATCATGGACCACCTTGCACTGCATAATATTACCTTCCGCTAAAGTGGCCAGATCTGCGTTCCAGCGAAGCGGGAGCACCTTTGGAGGTGCACCTCGTCCCAACAATGATGAACTACGTAGGTAGTTGTGTAAGGTCAGAATATAATTAATCAAGACTGGAGTCATGTTAGCCTTAAAGGGCAGCGGAGAAGTCGGGCAGTTGGCGGCCCATTCCTAAAAAAAAATTAGTAAGTCAGCTGATTCAATATACGCATTTCATTCAGCTCCTTACCCTGGGTAGACAGGTCTGCTTGGTGGTGATCTGTTGGGCGTTGGAAGGTGACTGTTCTCCATTGTTAGGGGTCTGTTGTCCGTTGGAAGGGAACTCTCTGCCGCTAGAAGGGATCTGTGAGCCGTAGGGAATCAACTCCCTGCCGTTAGGAGGGAACTTTGGGGTGTAAGGAGGGAACTGTTGTCCGTTGGGGAGGAACACTTGTTCTTTGGGTGCAGACTGTTGTAAATCGGGTAGGAACCCTATTCCGGCGGCTAAAAATCCGGTGGGGTAAAAAGTTTTTCCGGTAATTTTATCCTCCTGTCCAAAAACTATCCCCAGCATCACGATAAGTGAGTATAGCGATAAACTAGTCATCATGTAGAAGTAACTGAAAAAAATAATATATATCAAAAATATACTTAGTAAGTAGATACCTATTTCAAATTAGAATATTCGGTTGGTTTTTATTTTCATCAGTAAATCTATATATAAAAAATGCCAATGAATATTATCTGATTATGAAAAGTTTAGATATGTTCTATGAAAATCACACTAACACACTTTTTTTTGTCTACTCATATGCTTTCATTGTTCATCTGGATAACATGTGGTAGCGTGGCCGAGCGGTCTAAGGCGCTGGTTTAAGGCACCAGTCTCTTCGGAGGCGTGGGTTCGAATCCCACCGCTGCCAGGGTGTGAACTTTTTATTTTTTCTTAGTAAAATGTACGTAAAAAGAAAAAGCTTTTTTCCCTAAACATTGCAATTCCAACTGTATGTTAGTCCATATGTCAAAGTTGGCCAGCTATTTGTCAACACGAATATGTAAAATACGCAAACGCTTTTCTATGCAATTTGTTTAATACGCAACAGCAGCAGCAGCAGCAGCAGCAGCATCAACAGCCAGCGACATGTTGGCACTCATCTGCATAATTTAATTACATTTAACAATAACAAAGCTCGCACACACACGCACACACACGCACACACGCGCACAGCCACGCGGTGCGTGCAGCGCTTTGTACACATAAGTACGAGAGCAGGAGGGAGTACTTCCTCCCTTCATATTTCCCATTCCCTGGCACTCTCATTCTCACACTGTTCCTTTCTCTGTTTCTCTTCTTGCAGTTGCCGTATTACTTGTCAAGCAGCACAACAACAACAACAACAACAACAACAACAACAAAAATCTCAAGTGTAGAACGCGAGCGATGCTGGCATAAACAGTTACACATTTGCATGACACGCCTGCTGCGCCCGACTTGTCCCATAGGTGTTGCTGCAGCTCCTGCTGCTGTTCCTGCTGCTCCTGCTATTGTTGTTGTTGCTGTTGTAGTTGCTTGTGCATATGCGACATTAGCGCACGCAAACAACGTACACACAATTAGAAGAATTAACAGTAGTTAAGGCAGCAACAACAACAACAACAACAACAACGACAAATGGCTGCCAAGTTGCGGGCATGCAGTGCGGCGAATGAGCTGGGAGTGTGGGACAGGGGTAAGTAGCTGCACCGAAGTGCTGCAGGCTGTTATTGTTGTTGTTTCCTCAATGCTTATAATTTAGTTTTCTTGCACAGGGGGGGAAAGGAGAGCGCGTTGCACTTTTCATACTTCACATAGTTTCGACTTTTACAACGGCCTGTCGTCTGCCAGGACACACTTGTGTGTGTGTGTGTGGCACACGGGATGTCGCCTTGTTTTGCTTAGGTGAGCCGTGGGCTGGAGGGGGTTATTATGCGGCAACTTATTGGCCACAACATGCCAACTTATTAGGCAAAAGCGCAAAAGTTATAAATTGTTTTACGAGGCGCACATTGTTGCGGGTATAAATATGAGCATAACATAAGGCAAAGCAAGCCGAAAAGTTAGACTGCAAGGCCAGACAGAGATGGCAACAGCCGAACAAAGTTACAGCGACGAAGAAAAACAATTAAGGCTTTAAAACGGGACAAAAACAAGCTATTAGGTATTTTTTTCGAATTTATTATGTGGTTAAGGTTAGCTTAGTGTCTCAAAACCCTTTTACTGGGCGAAGAAACTTAAATCAAAAGCTTTGCTAACGATACGAGTAAATTATATGAAAAATATTATTTCTGCAAGTTCTGATAACGGAGTAAACACCCAATTTATTTTGGTAGGTACTCAGAGAAAGTCTTTAAGGCAATAATTCTCCGGTTTTTTTTTCAGCTAATTTAAGCCACTTCCTTTGCCTTCCAAGTATCTAACTCAAGTTTTAATTTAAAAGTTTTTCTTTAAACTTTCAACAAATGTTCAAAAGTTGTTAGCCTGGCTTTTAGTTACGGTATTTGGTTTTCTAGTTGACCACAGCTGACTGACCGGAAATCCGCACAACAAGCGCCACAAGCCAAAAATAGGTGACGTCCCGAGTCCACAGGATCTATTGTGTAATATCCGTTGACTATTATTCTAATTTGTGTCGAAAATTAAAAAGTTGCCTATGAGCAACTGCCCAAAGCCACCCCCCCGTCTCTCTCTCTCTCACTCACTCTGCTGCGGTCTCTTTTCTGGTGGCTTTTTGTGTGTGCTCAGCAAAATTTCATGCAAAATAGAACCCAAAAGTAAAAAACAAAAAAATAAATAAAAAGGAAAAACAACGGTACGCCTTTTTCAATAGGGACACCAACGGCTGGGATCCTTTGCTGTTTTTGTATTCGAAATAAAGCGACCGCATCAACAAAAATACCAAAGCAGCAGAAAATACTCATAATATGCACACTATACGAAATAAATAGAAATATGAAAAAAGAGCATAAAAAAATTAACATATAAATTAGCACAGCAGACAAAAAGACTGAGCGAAACGAAGGGATGGGGCAGGCTTTTGTTTTGTTGCATAAATTTGGCAATTAAAAATATTTTTCGTGCTACACTGTTCTTTCCCCTCACTCGACCGCATTTCGTGGGCTGTTCCAGAAAAACTTTCATTAAATGTGCCAGCAAATGTTGCCCAACACTATGTTTGGGTAGTGTTGAAGAAGCACAATTGTTTCCTTTTAAATTGCTGGCCCATTCTTCGAGTTGCCTGCACCCTAACCTAACAAGAGCTCGTCAGCCGGCATCTTCGCATCATTTAAAAGTCGTCTCACATTTCCTCCTCCACACACACACACACACACACACACACACACATACATTCATATGCAAACTGCTGACACCTTTGAAACATTTTCACGCTAATAAAATACAAAACATGCCAGTCAGAACTGAGGGAGATAGCGCGAAAAGCGTGACCCAGCCACACACAGAGTGGGAGCGAGATACAGGCGATAAAGTCAAAGCATAAAGCTTCAACGTTGACAATTCTCGGCTGCGGCACTTGGTCAGGGGATAGGGCAGCGAAGGCAGGGGCAAAAGCCAGCAAAAGCCACGCAGCAGAGGAGTATCACTCCCCAAGCTGATGTTTTGTACTTTTCGCCTCATTTTTGTCAGCCACACAACAGAAATGAAAGGAACGGAATCGTACTGATGAGCGAGCGGAAGAGAGCAGAAGAGAACGATTTTTCAGAAATTTGTTTTAATGCCGCGCACATTTATGCTTTTCTTTACAACATTTTTTCAGTTTTTCTTTGCCCCTTATTGTGTTACATTTGTGCAGCGACAGCACTAAAAACGCTGCCTTTTCCGTCTCCCGTCTCCCCACTCCCCTCCCCACTCTCCACTCTCCACTCACCATTCCCCTTAAGCGAACCGCAACTTGTGCAACATCATAAACCCATTTGCGTTTTTAATTAGTAACAGCGCGTTGCCAGAATGCCAGGACATTGGTCAGGGATATGCGTGTGGAGCGGCGCCACGGGTGGCGGGACTTTCACAATCTAGATGTCACACAGTCGCAGTCGCAGTCTCAGTCGCAGTCCCAGTTCCAGTTCCAGTTACTTTGTGTGTGCAAAAAAATAAATGACCATGCAAAATTTGTGCTGGGGCGACAAGACTGTAGCGCAGCGAATGGCAACTGATAGGAACTGGGCGGGGGTGGCAGCTGCGGGCGACGCGGAGAACACTCGAAAAGTGGAACAAATAAGGTAAAAATTTTTAATTGCCGCAGCAAAAGAGAAGCAAACGCAGAAAAATTGTTGCAGCTAAAATTATTATTAAGTTGCGGTTTTTGTGGTCAGTCAGGTATGCGAGCAGAGCTGCTCACTCAGTCAGTCAGTCACTCAGTCAGTCAGTCAGTCAGTCAGTCAGTCAGTCAGTCAGTCACTCACACAGTCACACAGTTGGAGTCCACGAAACTAGCCGGCGGGAGAGTTGGTGCAACCTGCGCTGCAGTGGCAACAAAGTTGAATAGTTAAAAGCGCAACTTTTTTCGTTCATGTGAAACAGTTTTTTGAATTGATGGCCAGCAATTTGGGGCAACAACCCCTGCCGGCAGTCGGATAGCCAAAAAGATGTGCTCATATAAAGTAGTAGCTGATGATGTTATCAGACCAAGTGCAGGCTGTCAATGAAATGGTATTTGCTTGTTTCCTCAATCCATTTACTGGAGTACTCAAAACGAGCTTAGAATTGAACTTAAAGTAATTGCGGAATGTATGGATCTTTCTATCACATAACTACGATAACACACAATAAGTAGGGGGAGTCATCTAGTTGGGACTAAATGATAGATCGATAGATGAAAACATCCTACAGGACACTAGAAGGAAATATTTTTAAAACTTGAATTCTCTCTCATAGTTATCGAGATCGAAGCGAATGCATCTAAATATATATACAAACAGACGAACGGAAAGACACACATGAAGTCGCAGTAGCCGCGATTTCTTATGCTGATTAGGAATATATAAGAGATGTTTCCTTCTGCTTAATACATACACTTGCACAAAACCTTTTTACCCTTTGTACCGTTAAAAAACAAAAACGACTGTCCTTCCTTATTTCAAGTAGTCTTACCAATTGATTTCCTGTTTATAACTATATATTCAGACCACAGCCACAGCTCAATAAAAACTTATGCAGTTCCACCCAAGCGGTCCGTCTTATAAAAAATTTAAACTCCATATCTAATCGAATATTTCATCCTTTGGTTACGTATATTTAATGCAGTTATATTCAGCGAATTGGTTTCACCTTCGTAATATTAATTTGTAATTTTCTTCATAGGTACATGCACATCTGTATATATTAATATCCACCTAGAATACTTTCACATTCAAAAAGACATATTCCTAAGCTAATTAGTTTCGGTTATATTTTAAGGCCAACACGAACAGGTTGACAATGTAGACTTGTATAATCTCTATATGTAATTATGTTTCTTTAATAATTTAGGGCTCCCAAATGACCAAGTCCATTCAATCATCTATATATATATATATTTGTAAATATTTTTAATATTGTCCTTCGCTGCGATTATCATAAATACAAGTATGGTCTACTGGCCTCCGATTTGTTGTATGAGTCTTTTTATTAATCTCGAATCTTTTGCAGTTTGCCGCTCTGCCTCGCTCTCCCCCTCCTCCTCCCCACCCCTCTCTCTTGCTCTATGTGTCAAAATGTTTTTTATTTTCTATCTTCCGTTTATCTCTTAAGCTAATTATTTACCTTTTTTTTTCAGTGTTATTCTTATAAAATCCTACTTTAATAATTAATTACATTATAAAAATCCCGGATGATGATTTGAGTTTTTGGGTAAGTAAGTACACATATACACATATTTATAAATAAATATTTTAAGGCTATTAAGAAGAGCACAATTTTTTTTATAACAGTTTTGGTATAGTTGAATTGAAATTGTAATTGATATTTTAGGGGACATTGGCGTGATTTATGGGCGTGCTTGTCATTTAGAAATTTGATTTTTTGATAAAAGCTTGCAATAAATAATTGCATTTGATTTGCGAAAATTCGTAAAATTGTATATAAGAACACAAGTTGAAGTAATATTAATACTATTCCACTCGTAACCTAATCGATTAGCTACGGTCGATTTCATAATTTTATAAACAAATTTAATCGCGTAGCCCTCGCAGGGCTCAATTGCCTTCGCTTTGGTTCTTTGTTGTTTGTTGCTATAGCCTTTTGGCAATGTATTGAAAAGTAAATAATGCAATTTGCTACGCAAAAATCGCAGCCACGGAGAGTGCGGAGCTCGGTCTGAGGGAGAGCTCGGGGCATTGTTATGGTTGTCTTTGTCTGGGCTGCTGCAGTCAAGCAATTATGTAATTTTTAATAGTCGTCGACATCGGGGCAAAGCGTTACGCAATTTATGAGGAGGGACCTGTACGGGGCGAGGAATGCTTGTAAAAGTCAAAGCATAATTTATTATTGTCAGTCGGAGCAGAAGAAAAGTGACGAACAAGGGCAAAGCCACCCTCAGAATAAAATGATGAAAAACGATTAAAATGCGTCAAAATGTAATAAAAGCAGCTGCAACTGGAGGCCAGCAGAGGGCGCATATGTATGTGTGTGTGTGTGTGTGTGTGTGTAGGTGGAGCAAAGAACAGGACACAGGACACGGAGCACCGACCCGTCGACCCATGCACCCCACGAACCAACCTCGACTGAGAACTGCAAGCGAGTGACTTACTTGACGTCGCTGCTGATGTGACACGTGCAACGCTTCACGGATTTCGCAGCGCACTCACGTCCCGGACTCTGTACTCGACTCTGGACTCCATCCCCGGCTCAGTAGCGATTCCGGGTATTCCGGCATGTGTTAATTGTGATGCTGTTCTGCAGGCTGCTGTCAATTGGCCCTTGGCGAACACAGCAGCACGAAGAGAAAGGAACTCCTCTCACACTCTCCCCTCGCGCCGATCTACTCGTACGTGCAACGCCCCCGCACGGCGCGGAGCGTAGTACTCGAATAATATATGGCTTGTATATTGCGCCAACAGATGGAACTGGGAGTAGGACTGGGACTGGGTATGGAGCTGGCGCTGCCACTGGGACGGCTGGTTACCGGCACGGACGCATAAACTAGCGGAACTCCGGGCCGGTGCTCGGAACTGGGGAGAGTATTTGCGATTGCCGGGCAAAGCGTTTAGTGCTCCACATTGGTCATGTCCATAAAGTTGTGAGTTTAATAGCTGCCAAATAAAAAGCGTTGAAGCGTTTGGCAAGAAATTTTATATATATATACATACTGATTTTTTTACGATTGCTGCTTTTAATGATTTCCATTTCAAAATTGCAGCAATGGTAAAACTGCCATGGGGCGAAGGGATGATGATTTTCTTATGATTTTTACGGTTTCCTTTAAATTCCATAAGTTCGTGTATTGACAAAGTGAAAAGTAATGCGAATTATGTAATTTAAGAGATTCATGTAAATAATAATAATAAGTAATAATAATTTTTAAATACTTCTGTAACAATCGTAAAACTGTAATAATTTGTATTATTATTATTATTATTCATTTTAATTTGTAGAATTTTTTGAAAATTCTCACAACAGTTATTAAATATTGTTAATTATAAATTATTAATTATTATTATTTTAACTGACTTCTTATAAATCGCGCTGGCACTATGCATACAGAGCCCAAGGATTCGAACCCTGGACACTCTTGCTAGTTTGCCTATAAGCAATCTTTCTATCGATAATATGCTAGATATTATTTGTAGTTAAATTTAAATGTTATTAGTATAAGACATTTACTAAGCTTTCTTTGCATGTCAGCGTTTTCGTTGAACTTTTCGAATTATTGAACACTTATTCATATCTTCTTTGGCGGGTTATTACGCTGCTTCAGTTGAAAAGGCAAATTAAACAATTTCGTAGAAGTTCTCTATTCTCGCTTGCTTTCGCTTCCTGGATAAATAATCAATTGCGTCGCTTTGATTTAAACTTCGATGCGTCCAACAATGCCCTTGACTTTTCTTTGCAACGGCACAAAAGCCCATTTAAAGTTTTATTTCTGTTTACATCCACATAACTTGGGCGAAAATATAAAAAATGTGGAGAAAATCGAAAAAGAGGGAGCCCCATATAACAATATTAAGAACTATAAGAACAACAACAACAGCAGAAACAATAACTTTTTGTATACAATCGAATGCCAAACAGACGCACTCCCTTGAGAAGTTGCCCCGTTGATGCCAAATGGACGCTGGGAACTGGAACCACACAAAGTAATTGATTGTTTATAGCAATACAATTTATGTGGCACAATTTGATGTGTGTATGTAACGGTCTCTGGCTGCTTGGCGGAGCAGGGGGAGGACTGTTACAAAATATTGACCATTTGCTAAACGATAATTCAAAATGTTAAATCGACAATTTCAATTTGAAGCGAACAACTCACCGACTCCCTGGGGCTGAGTACACGTACGTACATATAGAATCAATGTACATACATATTTATATTTATATACATACACACACATGTGTCTGTCTTGTAAATATAAACATAAACTCTACACTTAACAAAGGCGCGTAGATGTGCCCCACACTTGGTCCCCCATGCTCAAGAGTTTTAAAAAATCAATCGAACGTGTAATAAAATGCATTTTTGCAATGCTTCCTTCCTTTGTCACTTACCGCACTCCTCGTCCTGCATTTCATTAAAAAAGAAAAAAACATGAAACTGAGAGTTCGTTGGCAAGCCGAAGATTCTATACCCTTATAGTCATATGCCATAGTGTGGCTCGTAAGTCCTAAGTTCGATGATAATATATAGCAGCTATATAATATGATGTATATAATATGTGCTGCCTGCAACAGAAAGGCGAAGCTATGCAAAATTTCATAAAGGTAGCTTTAAAACTCAGACTCTAGTCCGCGTAGAAACAGACAGACGGACGGAAGGACATACCTACATCAATCTGACGGCTGATCTATAATATATGTGTGTGCACTTATTGGGGTCTGAGATGTCTCCTTCTATGCGTTACACATTATATTACAGAACTATAAGAGCCTGCAAAAGGGTATAAAAACACACACACATGTGTAGACTTAGCCGGCACCCAATCAGTCCCCGCCTAGTCCCAGTCTGAGACCCCGTCTGCCTATTGGGGGCATGCATTTACCCTTTTGCACTTTGGGGTTCAATTGCTGTATAAATGTTGGCCAGTAGTCGTTGTAGTCGTTGGGGTCGTGGCTTGTAAAATAAAAAAATGAACCACACAGTTGCGAGCATTAAAAAAAATAGACTCCATGTAATGGTCATTGTTGTTTTTGTTGTGTATTTTTACAAGCAATTTAAACAATCTGTTTGCTGCGGGTTTTAGCTTAACATGCATGTAAACACGGCGCAGGGATTTTAAAGCTCAAAGCTGTTGTGATTTTAAATTTATGCAATAAATAAAATATTTAAATTATGCATTTTTTTGCTGCATATTTAAATTATTCATTTTTTTCTGATAGCAATTTATCAATAACAATAGAAGTAATATCAAAATTTATGGTAAATTTGATAAATAAAATTAAAATAAAATAATGTTAGTCTTGAATACAAATATGTTTGCAATTTGCCTTTGGCAAAAATAAATAATTAACTTAAAAACACATTTTAATATTGATTTTGTATGATAAAACTAATTAATAAATACGTTTAAAATATTGCAATTAAACTTGTTATTTAAGTTCATGTTACATTTTTTTGAGCAGGAAGTTGAACATAAATAATATTATTTTTTTATAAGTATTTTAATTGTTTCTGTTGTGATAATTTATTAGTCTTATTTACTCGGGGCGAATAAGAATATCTTAAATATATCTTTTCACTTAAATATCTAATAGCTTTTCATCTAGTCAGTTTTTATTTTTATTCTACAAATAAGAATGTTAACTATCATCTAGAATACATCTTAATTGTTGTCTTAAGCATGTACTATCCGCGGCCTGTCTTGAACCCAATCAGAAGCCAAAGCTATTCACACGCTGCCTGTTAACTGATATGGCAAGTTGGTAATTTGTTTATGCTTTTCCCTCTACGCATAATTATGGATTATTAAAACTCAATTTAATGTTGTAGCTTTTTTTTTGGCAATGACTGAGTTGTGCACGTTTCTATTTTTATAAAAC